CTCCTCTCTGCTCCTCTCTCCATCTCCTTCCTCCTCTCTTCTCTCCCTCTCTCTCCCTCTCCCTTCTCTCCTGCTCCTTCTCCTCTCTTCTCTCCCTCCTCCTCTCTTCTCTCGTCTCCTCTCCTGCTCTCTCCTCCTCCACTCCTCTTCTCCTTCCTCTCTGCCACTCCTCCTCTGCTCCTCTCACGATCACAAAGTTTGATGAGCTCGCGCTTCTGCCTGTATCGCTTCATGACAGCGTCACCGGCGGGCTCAAACATAACAGCGGACAGTGAGCACCTACTGGTGGTGTCCTGGTATTACAAGTTTGAAAAGCTGTGATTTGTGATTGAAACAACCCTATGTCTTTTTCAAATTGGAAATTCGTTGGAAAACTGCTCCACATTTTACATTTACATTCATGAAATTCGAGAAAAAGAGGATTTCAGGAGAATGGCGTAAAAATAAAGATGAAATAATTGATATACAAGAATATCATGGGAGCTGCTGGCATGATTGGGCAGTAGTCTGCTAGTTTTGAGATAAACACATGCAGCACAAGAACATCTACGAAATGAATGGCATAAAATAGCCAGGCTGTGATGTTGGTGAGTAAGCTAAAATTAATATCTACCATATTGATGATCATTTCTTAGTGGGCTATATTCAATGAGTGGATGTAAAAGATAGGGCACTGTTACCTGAAACACTGCTGGATTAAAGTTTATTTGGAAGGTGATTTACCCTGCAAGGCCAACACAAGATCATATTAATACAGCTATTTACTAAAACACTTTGCCTTGCAAGATATGATACCGTATACCTACTGATTGTGAACATGGATTACAATTTCAGTTGTAGTCATTATTCTTACTACATGTTAATAGTTGAGAAAGAACGCAGATCGTCATAGCCATAGACGATAATCAATAAAACATCATCTCACAACAAACTGCAAATAAATACCGAACACACCAATGAAAAAATAAGATAAACACCAACGAACTAGATAGAAGGTATCAGCGCTGCACAATATGACAGGCACAGCACATCAGTGCATCAAGACAAACACCCTTACTCACCCCCCTTATAAACACCCTGCCATCGCATTCAATCCCCATATCCATCACCACCATGTCTCACCAAACAGACATGCACCCCCCAAAATTTTCAACATAGCATGTAACTACTATACACATCCACCCAGTAACAGTCTATAGCAAGGGCCAATGCTGAGTGAAACCAAAACACCAACTAAAAGTATTGGCTAAAATATAATGACACCTACATTCATTAACAATTCTGGTCAAAAACCACTACAACTTTAGCTATACCAACATACCACACAAGAATTACATATATCACATATATACATGAGACAACGCAACAGCTGAAAACACAAAACATAAACAAACTCAAAACCCACAATGTGTAACAGTGTATGGCACCCAGCACGGCCAAAGCTAATAACACGCTCAAAGGTTAAAACCCCAACTCCTCCTCTCTCCTCTCCTCTCTCCACTCCTCCTCTCTCCTCTCACATCCACAAAGTTTGATGAGCTCGCGCTCTGCCCTGTATCGCTTCATGAACTCACGCGGCTCACACATACAGCGACAGTGACACCTACTGGTGGTTTCCTGGTATTACAGTTTGAAACTGGTATTTGTGATTGAAACCAACCCCTATGTCCCTTTTTCAATGTGGAAATCGTTGAAAACTCTCCACATTTTACATTTACATTCATGAAATCAGAAAAAGAGGATTCAGAAATGGCGTAAAAATAAAATGAAATAATTATATACAAAATATCATGGACTGCTGGCATGATTGCAGTAGTCTCTAGGTGAGGATAAACACTATGCAGACACAAGGAACACTAGAAATGAATGCATAAAATACAGTGTGATGTGGTGATAAGCTAAAATTAATATTACATATTGATGATATTTCTTATGGCTATATTCCAATAGTGATGTAAAAGATAGGGCCTTTACCTGAAACACTGCTGATTAAAGTTTATTTGAAGGTGATTTACCCTGCAGGCCAACACAAATCATATTAATACACTATTACTAAAACACTTTGCCTGGCAAGATATATACCTATACCTATATGTGAAATGATTACAAATTTAGTTAGTCATTATTTTACTAAATGTTAATATGTTGAGAAAATACCAGATCTATAGCCATACATAACAACACATCTCAAAAACTGAATACCATGACACATGAAAAATAGATAAAAAGAACTAGAAAGATATCAGCCTGCACAATATGAAGCAGCACATCCATGCAATGAAATATATTTACATTGCATGTTCATCCCTTATCTCACCTGTCTCAAAGACATGCCCAAATTTGTATGTAATTACAGTAACAGTTAGCAGGCCAATGCTGAGTGAAAAAAGGTATTGGCTTAAATTTGAACTATTTTACTTGGTCAAACATAACTTTAGTTTATTCACATAACACGATTTATACTTTAATGAGACAGCAACTGAAAAAACATTGTGTAGTGTTAATGTGCAGCCAGGCAGGCAAAGCATTTACAGCTCATGGTTAAACATACAGTGCAATGATGATGATGATCCTTGTTTTGATTCTCTGGGTACAAAGCAGGGGATTTCCATTCTCTTTATCACTTCCATTTAACTTTTATGCCTGTGCTTTGATCCAAACGTTCCCAAACCTGATCATAAAAACCATGTGAGTCATGGTATTTAGTAGAGTTGAACCAGGCGGATATAGCACCAATTGACGTCACAAAGGGTTTCAAGAAAATAGACAGATCACGTGCAGGGTGAGAAAAAACACAGCATAACTGAAAACGTGGGGGGAAATAGTGTATAAATTCCAAAACTTAAACTCAAACCTCTTTGGTCTATATAGAGTCTATAGAGCTCTGTACCACCTAAAAGCTGATAGGACCTAAGTGACCCAATGGTAATAAAGGGATTTACAGGGTGTGAAAAAAGGGGTTTTAAATTCAGAAGTAGAAGGGAAACTAGTGTATATTGATAATGTAAACCCATATAAAACTTGATATAATGTGAGACCTTTTAGTAGACTGATCAGAAACAAGAAAGAAGCAACCACTCAAGCGCAAATCACATGCTATCACCTCAGTAATACTACTAGAATTAGCCAACCACCTGCAGTTGTATGCCTTAGCCAACCTGTCAAGTTGCAGTTTACATCCATGTCTGTCAAGATTCAAAGAATATATGTGGTGTATAACACTACACAAGTGTATTATTTGGCTGAATAGAAGTTTGCACAATATCGTACATGTATGATTTCACTGAACGTGCACTTTTGAAGGATTATCATAGACATATTGGCTAAACAGGTACATGTGTACTTGATTACTATGTATATATGGATTCTTAGAGAGTATAGCTATAGAACACGTGAGCTTTTGTTTTATTCTGCCATTTTAAGCTGCAACAGTTCTCTATGAGCTGTAGGTGAAACTAACACCATTAGCTAGGCAGGCTCCATTGCAGTCATGTGATTCCAATGACACTCGACATTCAGAATGAGGCAGTAAGTTAAAGACACAATGGATGAGATGGAAAGATGAAAGCCAGTACAGTGCTACCCATGTTTACTCATTGTGGAATCACTAGGTTCATTCTTAAATTACAGCTAAAAACCTATTTTGAGGCAATTATGACCTTTGGGTCATAAATGTCACCAACCCAGTGACCATCCAACTGTGAAATATGGTCACAATCTCAAGTTATGGTGTTGGATAATTGCCAAAAAAGTATTTTTCCAGGATATTATGATGTCACAGTGGAGTTTGGACTTTTGATGCAGGAACTACAGTGGGGTTTAACCTTTATGCAAAGGCAGATCGGGACATGTGTTGCAGTAGTGTTGGTTACCACATGCCATGAGCTCTGCAGTCTGCCTGCACTGGCTGTCAGTGCTTGCTCCATCAGCCCCTTACTACTACTACTAAAGCAAATGTCAAAGCAAAACTCAGTTATTTGTGCAAATTTTGTTTTTATTACAACAAATAAATAGCTTGATTTTGCTCAAATACAAACATTCTATCTCTACTTATAACTAGTATACAAAAATAAATGAAATGATACATCCGTTTTATTTGTACAATCTTTTTTCATTTCGTTTTTTAAGAAAATCCTGATCAGTAAGTTCCCTCAGAGCTTCAGATTTAAAGTGCAAAGTGTGTGATAAAGTCACTACCGCTGATTAATGAAAAAGGATTGTCTTCAGGTTCACCGGGAACTCTGTCACTCATTCTGTGGAGAAAAATAAAATTAAATATATGAATCTGTATACTAGAATAATAGTATATGTAGAATAATATCTGCTTCACCTATGTTGTTATAATAAAACACAACAGTTTTTTTGTGTTTGTAAACTGCCACTGTTTCTGCCAATGATTTTACAGTATCCCACTGATCTACAGGTGACTCTAAGAAAGCAATGTGCCAACAAAGGATGTGAAGAAGAAAACTGCTATCAAGTTAACATGGATATAGAGCTGCAGCTTTTGACTTGTCGTTGTAGCCAATAGCGCTGAGTTCCCCCAGTCAAGCAACTATAGTGGACCCATTAGCTGACTCTGCTGGGACTGGGAGCTCCCAGTGACAATCACGTCCAGACCTGGATGCTACTATTGCACTGAACATAATCCATAACAAAAAAACAAAACAAAAAATAAATAAATTGGGCACTACTTGGTCTTTACAATCCTTGATGCGTTCTTGTCAGATCAGCTGAGAGCAGGACCCATCTTTTCTCTTGTATGCAGTCCATTTACTGCAGCATTGTTCATGGGTCCCTGCTCTAGTTCTTACATAACGAGTCAGTTTTTCCATGGAGAATATTTCCTCATCAACATATAGCCTATCTCCAGGCCTTTAATAATTTATGTATTATAACATTTATTTCAACACAGTATAATATCACAGAAGACACGGATTAAATAATATATATTTTCCCCTAAGGGGCATCAAAATTATCATGTCTATCATTCTTTTTTATTGCAAATACCTTTGCATTTTTTTCTTAAACCAGGATAAAGATGTTTAATTTGTATTACCATTCCTTATAAAAACAAGTTACATTTACTCTCAGGAACACATCTGTGGTATAGGCAGTACTCCGGGTTCAGTATACTACAAAACCATTCATACTGCACTCACACTCACTCAAAAGAACAGCAGAGAGGGAGCAGAAGTGGAAGCATTAGGCATGAACGTCCTTACCAAATAAGGATATCCTATGTCTGACAAGAACTCCCAGTTTGCAGAAAAGACTGAAAAGATCAATAAAAGGAGAGAGGAGGTAGAGACGGAGGCAGAGAAAGAAATAAAAGATGGTGTGAGACAATAAAATGAGAGACCCAAAGAAAGACAGAGAGAGAGCAGTAAAGATACAAAGGCACATAGCCTAATGTCAACAGCTCAGTGACAGTCATACACATGTATTCAATTAGAAATTTCAGTCTCGAACATCTTATATGTTGTAAATAATATTGCATGATAGGTCATGCTGTACCCTGCAATACTGGCATTGTTGGCATTCTGTCTGTTTATTGTTGTATGATTTGCCACACTCACCTGGTCACCATCTCCTTCTCCTTGTTGGAAGCGTGGCCACCGCTGCTGATTGGATGGATGGCTGTGGACAGGAAGTACAGCCTGTGGTTTTTAAAGTATTGATCCACCAATGGCAAGACGACCTGAGGGTTAAATGACATAAATACTCAGTGTATCTGTCTTTCAAAAATATTGGTTCTTACAAGTTTTTCACAGCTATTGTTTTTTCGATCAATGACAGTATATATAGTACACGTCATTTAAAATTAAAATTGTGAAATTAAACCAATTCAAATGTTTTATTCTGACCATCACAACATAGATACATTAAAGCTGTGATAAAAGACTGCTTAAATTTATCTAGGGTTGTTTCACTGACAAATACAGTATACTTTTAATTTAATTCAATTCAATTCAATTCAATTCAATTTTATTTGTATAGCACCAATTCATAACAGAAGTTATCTCAGGACACTGTGCTTGGTCCC